CCCCCTTGCTGCACAAGGGGAAGACCGTGGTGTAACGCAAGTAGTCGTCAACAACCAGCAGAAAGTAGCACTCGCGGCCCTGTCCACGGACGCGGGCTGGGCCCCACACATCCATGTGGAGAGTCTGCAGGGGAGCAGTCGTCGGGAGAAACGAGGAGGAGTGAGGAGCGAAGCGCTGCCGCCCCTTAACACAGGGAAGGCAGGGAGGGGCAGGCGAGGGTGGGAGGGGAGGCAGAGACCTGGGAAGACCAGAGACAAGGAGACGGGAGTGCATGCCTCTGAGGCGTGGCAGGGAGGGGTGATCTAGGCGGTGGTGCCAAAGGAGAGTCTGGTGCGACAGGAGGCGACACGAACAGGGGGCTGCTAGCTGACCCGACGCGGACGCAGACGCAGCTACCTGAGGAGGCGCAGTAGTCAGTGTGTACAGACCCGACCCAGGCCGACGGGTGAACGTGGCCAAGTGACGGCCAGTCCAGGAGCACGTACAGATCGCCACGCGCTGTCCTCCAGGGGTTAAGGTATCAACACATTCATTCTGAAGGACGGCATTGCTCACCAAGTTCGTAGAGAATGAGGGGAGGTGAAGACCTGATAGTGAGCTAGACCGAACCGCCAGACATGGGAGAACAGTGGAGGAAAGTGCAAGAACCGGGCCCCCAAAGGGGTCAGCCAGAGAGACTGCAACCGGTGCTGGGAGTGGTGTGACTGTGGTGTTATCGCGAAAGAAGCAGTGGGAAGCACCTGAGTCAAGCGTGAAGGTGTGCAAGCTCTTAGTAGGCGCAGAACCAGAGAGAGCAGAGTCACTAGCACCTAGAGCAGCAGCCTCTATTCCTGGGTCTGGCCGCACACACAGGTAACAGTCACCCTGAGCACTAACAGTCAAAGAATACATGGCAGCACGAATAGCTAGTCAAGAGCAAAGATATCCACACCCTGCCTAAGTAGCTCTAGCTAGCAGGGGAGCTCAGTCGCGTCGGGAAACTCTGCGCGCCAGGCGTCGTCAAGACGGGAGAAGCAGGGGGACTGTGTGTGACCAACCTTCCCACATGTCTCACCAGCGCATTCACTTGTGCGAATGACGTACTGGCAGCGAACACTACCCCCAGATTCCCCACGCTAAGCAAACCACTCACGAAGCTCCTTGGGCGTAGGGGTCTCACATGGACGCTGCTGCTGCTGCCTTTGACCATCGTCAGAACCTCCCCTCTGACCGGGTCCACCCCGACCGCCACCACTACCGCTGCCACCACTCCCACTGCCGCCACCACTACCGCCGCCACCACTCCCACTGCCGCCACCACTCCCACTGCCGCTACCACCGCCGCCACCAACGCCTCCACTTCCACAACCACTCCCTCCGCTACCACCGCCACCTCCACCACCTCCACCGTCTCCACCACCGCCTCCACCGCTGCCACCCCCACCACCCTTGCCTCCCTTGCCCCTGCCGTTGCGGCACCTCCCACTACGAGCAGACGCAGCCCCGACCTCCTCAGCATGAAGGAAGTCAACAGAAGCAGCAGAACCATAGGAGGGGGCAAGGGGGGAGGGAGAACACCCCTCAAAGAAGGGAGTGCGAGGAGTGCCACGAGCAGCACCTACAGCGACTATGCTAGTCTCAGTTGCAAGGAGGTGCTTCTCGAGCAGGTCAACAGTGAGGTCCGTGGGGTCCATGGCGAGAAAGAGGTCCCTGACTGCGCTAAGAGAGTCAGGGAGGCGGGTGACTATGAAGTAGAGAGTGATGTACATGGGGGGAGGGTTCTTGTCTAGAAAATTGGTGGGCAATGCAGCGCAGTAGCGAGTGTCGCTAGTGCGAAGGTGGGTAATGAGGTCGTCGACTGTGGCAAAGGCGGACAGCTCGGGAAAACGGTAGGGCAGTATATGGCGGCCAAGAGCAGCAGTGGCAGGGGAGGAGTAACGGGCGACTACAGTGTCGTACAGGGCTTTAGCAGTCTTGTGCTGGCCAAAGTGGGCGCGTTCGGCTAACGGTAAGCGGTTGCGAACGGCTAGGCGAGCAGCAGCGTCACGGGTAAGCCACTGTGAGCGGGTCCGACTGTCAGGTGTGTCGGGAGGGGCGAGAGAGCTCCAGACGTGTGGTCAAACAACAAAACGTTGTCTCTAGAGTCGCTCAGTAGGTACAGCTGTAGGTCGTCTAGCCACGTATCGAACTGGATCGGACGACCCTCTGGATCGAATGTGAGGACGCTGAGAGTAGCCATGGCGGGCAGAGCAGGGTGGCGTGTGAGCACGCATGCAAGGACGGCGCGACAGGCAGGGTGGTGCGCAAGCGTTAGGGAAGCGCACAGATCAGGGTGGGGCGGCGCACGGCTAGGGCAGGGCGGCGCAATTGGCAGGGTAGGGCGGCGGCCGGCAGGGTGGCGCGCGGGCAGGGCAGGGCAGGGCGGCGCGCGGGCAGGGCAGGGTAGGCCGGCGGCAAGCAGGGCGGCGCGCGGGTAGGGCAGGGTGGTGCGGTGGCCAGCAGGGCGGCACGCAGGCAGGGCAGGGCGACGCGGCGGCCAGCACGGTAGCACGTGGCCAGCAGGGACGCATTCTCCTCCGGTTCTATACGTCAACAACAAGGCTGTGATTGCCTTGTGTCGGGAGCAGATACTAGAGCACAGAACGAAACACATTGCTCTTCATTACTTTCTCGCTCGAGAGTTGCAACAGTGTGGTCAGCTTCGCCTTGCTTACGTGGCCTCTCTGGCCAACAAAGCTGATATCTTCACCAAGGCCCTTGGGTCGGGTGATCATCAGCATTTCTGCACTGCTCTAGGCCTTGTCTCTACCTTGCCTCACTTGCTTGCTACTTGACTTTGCCTTGTACTGTGATCTAATGACGTTGTTGCCGCCTGGTGTCGCAAATCCGACGTGATGACGAGCCTCGCGATGTACATTGACGCCTGATATGGTTCTGTCTCTCTCCATGTCCGGCATAGGTTGGGCGGTGCCATCACTGGCTGCGCCTGAGCGCTGTCCCACACTGTCGTGATGCAACGGTGTATCGGATGAGATGATAATCGGCTAGTCCGATTGTGCAGGTGCATTTGCATGTGCTGGTGCTAGTGCATTCACCGTTGATTGCTGTCGGGTGGTGTCGCGTTCCGCCATGATCTCGCAATTTCGAGTGTCAATTCCTCGAGCTGGCGCACGAATTGGTCTAGGCGTTCTTGCGTGAACGTCGCAAGGTTGAATTTGGCCATGGCGGGGGTGTCGGGCGAGTGTAGCGAGAGCATTGGTCGTGGCTGAGTGTGCTTAACGCGTACACAGCGGTTAGGGAAAGCATAACACGTACACAGCGTTCGAAGTACTCGTTCCTTGGTGACACAGCGGGAAGTCGCTCGTACGCGTTATGCTTCGAGTATGCGAAGTAAGGGAAAGGAATTATCCTTAGAGTCACCCTTAAACTACCTTACTCTAACAACCCATTCCATCCATCCCACTCGTACTAGACCGAGCGTTGACATTTTTTTTGTAAACCCTCGGCCACAGCGAGCCCACCTCAGTTGCCAGCTTTGTTCTGGATCGGGACTGGTCTCTCTGAACTGAACCAGCAATTGTCGCCTTCGTCAGTTGGGTCCTCGTCAACCCTTTTCCATTGACCATTTTGGGTCTTTGTGTTGTGTGGATTTTGGAGAGAAGCGGGAGGTGGATGAGGAGGGGGGGAGCGGAGGGGCGGGAATCGTGGGTGCCAGGTCTCGTTTAGTTTTGAGGTGCCCTAAATTTCGAAAAAAAAAATACAGAAGGAAACTGCTTCAGAGGTCTACGCATATTTCAAGACAAAATTACATTTGTGGTTAACCTCTGAGAAATGCCATTGGCGGGATTCTTCTGAGCCTCGGAGCGTTTCTGACGTGGCGGACATGTGGACTGTGGTTTTCCAGTGCCATGGACAAGATTACCTGTCTATGGTTGGTCTATCTCTCGCCTTCGCACTTCCGCTTCTCTACCAGCGGTTTTTTTTCACCTTTGTCCCCCAAAACAGTTCGTCCTCACTTCCTTTCTCCTTCCTCGTTATCCCCGCTTGGCCTCCCTCATCGTGGCGCCTACCTCACGAATTTACGATCCCGCCCCTTTTCCTCCCCCCCCTCTCCCCACCACCGACTTCTCTTCGCCAACCCCCCGCCCCTCATCCCCCTCATTCAAGGCGTGTAACTTTTCCTGATATATATACAGATGGAAGCTCAAATCGAAGTTTCGCGAATCATTCGGATCTCGTCAGAAATGCTGTGATGCTAAAGCTCGGTATTCTCATGAGTAACATGTGCATTGGATAGTTGAACTAAATCGGACCCTCGACTCTGTTCCAGGAGGGTTCAAGCACCTGAAATTCAGGTTCATCCTCGAACAGAAACATCGCAAATGGTCGTTGATCCACGGCCGATCGGCTCATATGTGACACGCTCTTGCTTAAAGTAATCCAGCCGGGCCAGTTTCCAGTCCACCTAATTCCTCCCCCTCTCCCCCGATGCCTCCCCCTCTCCCCCGACGCCTCTCCCTTCTGCTCCGCTCCCCCCGCCTGGACCTTGGACCTCCCTGAATCGCTTCCCTTCAAGAGCCGCGGTGCCATCTGGTCTGGACTCTGGACCCTGGACTCGCTGCTGGACTCTGGACTAGGGCACTGTGTGGCCTCCTCTGCCATATACTACCACCTTCACCTTCTAAACAAAAAAGTCGGAAGAAGTTCTTCTGTGTTGTTTCGTAAATCGTTTCTCGCGGCGTGCGGTTCATTCTACTGTCAACACAGATCGCTGACAGCAGGTCAAAACCTGCATCCCCATAGCCGGTAGTATCGTTGCGGCGAGCATTTGCAGCGCTCCGTCTCGTGCGACGACTCATGGTTGCGCGTTAATCACGTACGTCAGCTGCCTTACACCTTAGGCGGTTTGACCTTCGCGAACGTGCGGGAGACACAGTGGATCTCAAAGCGAGGCGAGGGAAACCTGGGAACAATCGGCGACGTGAATGGGAGAATTTTGATGGGATGCCCTGCTTAAACAATGATGATGACGATGTCGAATGGCGGTGCGACGAATAGCGGTGCGACGAATAGCAGTGCGACGAATAGCGGTGCCATGGCGAATGGCGGTGCAGCGGCGATTAACGGTGGAGCGGCGATTGGCGGTGGAGCGGCGGCGGATAAAAGCGGCGCCGCGACGGGTTTCGGAACAGGCAGCGGCGAAGCGAGGGGAGGCGGCGGGAAGTCGGCGGTGACGAGCGCGGGAACCGGCGACGGCAACGGGTCGACGGAAGAAGGCGCTTCGGTGGGGAAGAAGTCGGGAGGCACGAGGCGGCTGGCGGAACGCGGAGCGGACGGGAAGCGGCCGCGCAAGCGGTGCAAGCTGGTGCTGTTCGAGAGCCGTCTGCCGCGCGACGGGTTCGTGTGGCTCAAGTACGGCCAGAAGGAGCTGTCGGGCGGCACCATGACGAGGTGCGTCGCACGATGGCGGGATATTGTCGCACACAATCTTCGCACACAACGATATATCGTCGCACGCAATCACGCGATATTGTCGCACACCATGGCTGGGTACGTCGCGCACTTCCGACGGGGTATCGTCGCACACAACACGGGACGGGAACATACAATGACAGGATATCGTCGCACGCAATGACGAGGTATCGTCGCTCGCACCGCGCTAACGCATAACACCACACGACTTTGCCATGCCGCTGCCATGCTTGTTGCCGCAGATCCCCCGCGCGCTCCTGACATCTTCCGGCCCAACGCGGCCTTCACATGTCCCCTTTGAAAGGCGCCGTGCCTCGTCGCTCATCCCAGTGCCGCTCTGCGTTCCCATCTTCCCCCTCGTTCCCCCTCCCATCCCTCACCTTATAGCTACTAGTAACGCCCTTCCCTCTTGCCCCCTCCCCTTCCGCTCTGCTGGCGCGCTCCCCGCTTCGCGTGCTGGTGGCGGCAGGCACTACTTCAAGTGCAACGCGGCGGACTCGGCGGCTGCGTGCGAGGCGAAGCGCATCGTGGACTACAACAAGGTGGACCCCCGCCACCCCATCCGCGTCTCCACCACCGGCGCGCACAACCACGACGCGCCCGCCGCCCCGCTCGGCCTCAGCCTGTGCAGGGAAGGGGAGGCGGCAGGCGAGGGGGGCGCGGGGGCCGCGGGGGGCGAAGGGGACGACGGGGAAGAGGGGGAGGAGTTTTATGAGAGAACGGGGGAAGATCGGGAGTGGGGGGAAGAGGAGGAGTACTACCAGCAGCCGCCGCCGCCCCCGCCATTGCCACTACCACAGGCGCCGGCACTGCCGCCGCCGCCCCCGCAGCAGCAGCTGCAGCAGCAGCGGTCCCCTCTGATGCACCAACTGTCGGCTCCTGTTGGATTCTCCGCCTCCCACTCCCACTCCCCGCACGCTTCCTCCCTCCCACCCTCACAAGCGTTCGCACATGGCGACCGGCGGCTGGCGCTCTCAAACCCGCGCACCCACTCCAAGCCCTCCGCGCCCCCTTGCTCCCCCTCCCACCTGCCCCTGCACGCCCCTCCGCCGCCGCCCAACGCTCTTCCAGACCAGCACGGCGGGGCCCTGGCTGCGTTTCCGCAGCAACAAATATCCTCGCTACAATCACAGAACGTATCCTCGCTGCAGCGACAATCCCCCTTACAGCGTCAATTCTCGTTGAAGCAACAAGACATTTCTTCATTACAGCCACAAGCCATGTCCTCCTTACAGCGCCAACCCTCGTTACAGCCACAGGCCCTGTCCGCCTTACAGCGGCAGTCCGCGTTACAACCCGGCTCAATGCTTCCAGGAGTGGGGTGCGCGAGAGGCAGAGTGCGCATGGGGAGTGCGCTGACGGCCCTGGCATGGCGGCAGGGGGGAGAGCTGGAGGGGCAGCACGGAGGGCAGGGACAAGGGTGGCGGGAGCAAGGGTGGCATGAGCAGGGGCGGCAGGAGCAGGGGCGGCAGGAGCAGGGGCGGCAGGAGCAGGGGCGGCAGGAGGAGGGGCGGCAGGAGCAGGGGCGGCAGGAGCAAGGGCGGCAGGTGCAAGGGCGGCAGGAGCAGGGGCGGCAGGAGCAGGGGCGTGTGGGAGACACGGCAGGAGTGTCGGAGGCCGCTCAAGAGGGCAGGCAAGCCGTGTCGCCCCCTCTGCCCACACCCATGCCGCCCGCACCCATGCCCGCACCCATGCCCGCACCCATGCCCGCACCCATGCACGCACCCATGCCCGCACCCATGCCTGCACCCATGCCCACACCCATGCCCGCGCCCATGCCAGCAGCGGTGCCAGCAGCAATATCTGGAGTGGGCAGGGAGGGTGGAGCAGGGGATTGGCTTGCGGAACGACAAACAGCAAGAGCGGCAGAAGCATCTGACGGGCAGCCGCGGCCGCTTGGGCGCACAGCATCTGCACCCGTGGGGCGGATTGGGGCGGCGGAGGGGGGTGGGGCAGCGGCGGGTGGGGGGCGAGGGGGGCCTCGGCAGGCGTTTGGCGTGGATTGCTCCATGCCTCTGCTGCAGCAGTGGCTGCAACACCGCGCCACACAAACCCAGCAACAGCAGCCGCTGAGCCCACCGCAGCCGCCAAGCCTTCCACAGCAGCAAAGAATCCAGCGGCCACCTTCACAGCAGCAGCAGCAGCAGCAGCAGCAGCGAACACAAGAAGCGTCGGGCGCACCGACGGGTGATGGACACCCCATGGGAGCAATGAGACGGCACGAGGACGGTGCGATGGGAGCAGTGGCGACGGCAGGCGCAGCTCAGGCAGCAGAGGGAGCGCCTCAACGGTTGGTGCGGCAGGGCCAGGCACAGGTGGCAGAGGCACAGCAGGCAGCACAGGTGGTAGCGCAAGCACAGCCCAGGCAGGCATCACACAAATCATCAGTTCCCATCCCAGCAGCAGCAGCAGCACCACTAGAGGCAGAGGCGACAACCCGAGGCACCTTTCCTGATCATGCAGCGCATGCCCCACGCTCAGCGCCGCCAGGGTCAGCGGCGCCACACGCGGTGGTGGCAGCGCGGGTGGAGGCGCTGCGGCGGCAGCAGGAGGAGGCGACGAGGAGGGAGGTGGAGGCGGCAGCAGCGGTGCGGCAGCTGGAGGCGCAGCTGGAGCAGCAGCGCGCCGCCGCCGCCCAGGCGCGCGCCCGCGCTGCTGCCGCCCAGGCGGAGGCGGAGATGAAGCTGGCCGCCCTGCGGAGACAGCTGCAGGCGGAGCACAGCCCCCGCGACGGAGGAGCGGCGGCTGGGGGCGTGGCGGCGGAGGGGGTGGCCGCTGGTGGGGTGGCGGCTGGGGGTGTGACAGCTGGGGGAGTGGCGGGCGGGGGTATAGGGTCGAGGGCAGGGAGAGGGGTGGTGGTAAAGGAAGAGGCGATTGGGGAGGAGGCTGTGGCGGATGAGATGCCCGTGGGTCAAGGGCTGCAGCGAGATGACCAGCTGCTGCTGCTGCGACTGCTGCAGCAGCAGCACCTGCAGCAGCAACAGCAACAACAGCAGCAGCAACAACAGCAGCAGCAACAACAGCAGCAGCAACAACAGCAGCAGCAACAACAGCAGCAGCAACAACAGCAGCAGCAACAACAGCAGCAGCAGCAACAGCAGCAACAGCAGCTACAACGGCAGCAGCAGCAGCAGCAGCAGCAGCAGCAACAGCAACAGCAGCACCAACAGCAGCAACAGCAACAGCAGCACCAGCAGCAGCAACAGCAACAGCAGCACCAGCAGCAGCAACAGCAACAGCAACAGCAACAGCAACAGCAACAGCAACAGCAGCATCGAGAGCAACAACAACATCAGCAGCACCAGCAGCAACAACGGTTGCATCACCAGCAGCAACAGCAGCACCTGCAGCAGCAACAGCAGCACCTGCAGCAGCAACAGCAGCAACAGCAGCAGCAGCAACGGCAGCAGCAGCAACAGCAGCAGCAGCAGCAACAGCAGCAGCAGCAACAGCAGCAACAGCAGCAGCAGGGCACAGCACCGCGCAGTCCTCTAACCGTGCTCTCCCTGCGTTCAGCTCTCCCCTCCGCCTCACCGCCTCTCGCCTCACAGCCCCCTGCCCTCCCTACCACGCCACGTCTCCCTCTCGCACCCCCTACTCATGGCCCTCAAACCGAAGCCTTCTTACTTCCCCCACAACCCTCCGCGCCTGCCCCAGGTGTCACCTCCGCTTTCGCGCCAGTCACCACCTCCCCCACTACCAGCCAAAATTGCACCCAGGAACGCGGCGACAGCCAGTGCGAGAACCAGGGGGAGAGTGGGAGCATGAGAGAGGGCGCGGGAAGGGTGGAGAATGGCGGTGGGGAGGGAGGGGGGCAGGGGGGTGCGCGGGGCAGGAACAGCAGCACGGCGGCGCTGGCGCTGTCACTGTCGTGTGTGGCGCTGCGCCTCGTGCTGCAGCTGCAGGAGGCTGCCAGGGCGGAGCAGCAGGGGGTGGTCGGTGCGGAGGAGAAGCAAGCAGGTGGTGGCGGAGAGGCGGATGGACGGAATGGGTCGGAGCAGTTTGGTGTGGGCATGGTGGCAGCTGCAGGTGGAGGTGTGGAAGTAGGTGGAGCAGGAAGCAGAGAGGGCTGTGGAGGGGGTGGAGCAGGCAGGGAAGCGCCATTCCTTGATGGCCCGGCTCACAGCGCTCCTGAGATGTCCACGCTCACTGCAGCCGCCGTGCCCACTGCCTCATCCATGGCTTTCCCCGGTGCTTTTCTGCAGGCGGGGGGCATGTGGGAGAGCAGGGGCGGTGTGAGGAGCAGAGTGGATGCCGTGGGCAGCAGCACAGGGGCGCCGCCCCCCAGCCCCGCGGACTCACATGCGCCCTGCAGTGCTGCCAGGCGTGTTGACGTGGAGCTGCGCCTCTGACCCTCCCCATGCTGCCTCGCACCAATCCTGTCAATAGTCACGTGTTGTCCTCAGGCGCTGCACTGCTGCCAGGCGCGCAGATGTGGAGCACACGATATTTGACCGTCCTCATGCTGCCTTGTGCCAGCCCTGCTCCATGCTTTGTCGAATTTCTCTCGCTCTGAATTGAGCTTTCTTCATCTTCACGCTCTCCCTGTTCAGTTTATTCCCTCCGTTCTTTCGCTCCTCTTCATTCTTTCTGGCTCTGCTTCCGTGTCAGTTGTCACATGTCTTTCTTGCCACATGTTGGTACCACATTCGTGAGTGCTCCAAAGGTCTCGTCATAGGACTTAATAAAGTATAAGGGTGCATTCCGCTGTGGACACTGTCCCAATCTATGTGTCCCAATCGAGTGTACAGCTCCGAACCGAACTAAACCAGAGACGCTAAAATTTCGAAACTAGGGTGCAATTCGGTGTAATACGATGCAGTGCGGTAGAAACGATTGAGACACTTTCGATTGGGACATGTCCAGCGCGGAATGTACCCTAAATAAATTCATTGAATGCTGATTGCATGCGGTCTATTGACAAGCTTCAAACCCCGGAAATCCTACTGCATACGCGTTCCACATGGCAAGCCAGCTATGCGCACTGCGCGTGGGCTACCCGCTCTTCCCCCCCAGCTCAGCTTGCGGCAGCCTCTCCCGCGAGCGGAGCGTCCATGCGCAGCGCGGAGCGCACGGCTGGCGCAACGGGGAACTCCGCTTCTGCGGGGAGCAGCCTCGCCGCTTCTTCCACCCTCCCCTCCCGCACGCCCAGTCGGTGCACCTCGCGGAACAGCTCCGTGACGTCAGCGATGCGCTCAATGTACTCCCCTCGCGCGTACGCAGCAGCGACGTCGCCTCTCAGCCCGATCTGGATGGAGCGGTAGTTGAGGCGATTCAACAGCAGGTCGCGCTCCGGATCCCACTGCACCACCACCTGACTCGCATTTCTGCGATTGTTGCTGTCAGGACGGGTTCCCTTGATAGCATGATGATGTGTGTCGTTGTTACTCGTCCTCGCCTCGTTCGTTGATGCGTCGCTTTGATCTTTCGCTAAAACTGCAGATTCAAGGATACGGTCGAAGCACTCTCGTTTTAGATCCACGGCCAGGATTCGCTCCTGATTCGCGTCTTTGAAGGAGTACCCCGCGCGGTACGCCATCCAGCAGAAGGACGGCTTGATCCACGTCATCCGGCCGAGCTTGAATCCCGGGCTGCTCGCAAAATTGTTACTTTCTGCGGCGGGAGCGGCGATGGTGTGGCTGTACGCCTGATACACGCGCACCGCCGAGTCGGTGAACGACGCACGAATCTGACGCTCCAGGGGGCTCGCCCGCTCAGAAGCGGCGCCGGAGGGCGAGAGGGCTGTGCTAGGCGGTGTGCTGCCGGCGTGCGAAGACGATGCTGAACCATTTTCGTGTGCCATTGTAACGTCGAGTCTACTAAAAAATGTCTGGAGATGATTAACTAGAACCAGGGCGGATGTATTGTCAGGTATTTTTCAAGAATGCGGATATGACAATGATGAAAATGGCGGGAGCAGGGATGAGCAAAGCATTAGAACGAAGGAAGGACCGATGATGAGGCTAACAGTGACAAGAAAACCTAAATACTTCTCAATTTGATGCGCGAATCACGCACGGTTGAGCACAGGAAGTGGAGGTTGCACAAGCTTCCCGGAAGCTTGAGCGCAGGCCCTGCGATGGAGGCGTGCGGCGCACGAAACTGGTTGTGTGGCAGCCATGGCGAGGTAGGCTAGAAAAGTTTGACTCGAGGGAAGCGGGGAGCTGATACTTGTTGGAAACAATCGGTCCTAAGCGCCTCTGTCGTGTCGAAACACTAAGACACAAAAGAAACGAAGTATAACGAATCACCGGCGAGTCAACCCTCGGAGGTTGAAAGTAACTGTTGGAGGTTACGCGAAAGTCAAAGGTCAGCGACCTTTGACCTGACAAAGTACAGCGCGACAGCAAGGACAAACAACTGACTCGGTATTGAGCAGTTGCCCGAGTCGTCACTGTATCGAACCGCAACAGCAATAGTAAAACGGTTATTAACTGTATCTCTTCGTATTCCTTGTACTCTTATAAAGGCCTGTATCTCTTTGTTTTAATTAACTTACTTTGCCCTCACATACTAGCGCAAGGTGGTTCACAACTCTTTAATTAACGCTTCCGCTACTACACCAACTCTACCCAGAGTTCACCCCTGCAAAGATCCTAAGGGTTTTTCAGCCCAACATGGTATGAGAGCTATCAGGGGGAATTCAACTTCTATACCGACAACATCAACAAGCATGGCTACACAAAAGGAAAGGAGCAACTCCAACGGCTCCCAGGGCACTACTCCTACTCCACCTCCTGCCTCTGGCCTACAGACAGAGGAGGGCACAACAACAAGACCCAGAGCAACATCTACCGAGACTCCCGCGAATCAACCTGCAGACTTCGACCAGAGCATGATGGAGAAGTTTTTCTCCTTCATGTCCTTCTACGAGCAACACCAGCAATCGGCACCTGCGCAGTCACACAACAGCAACAACAACGGAGCAACACCCATGAGTCTCGACGGCTCATCATATGCACGAGGAAATCAACAACAGCAGCCTACCTTTGCTCCGTACGAGCGCGGGTCCATCAGCTTTATGCCACACCCACAGCCTTCACCTGGACAAGAAAAATCACTGGACGCATTACAAGTTCAGTCGCAGTTCGCACACGTTCTGAAGATGCAGACGTCAAGACCCTTCGATGGAAAGGACTTCTTCACCTGGTCGTTCGAGTTCGAGCTGATGATGGAAGGCGCGCAGATACTCGGGTTCTTCGACGGGTCTCTGCCATACCCAACAAACGGCACACAGTACGAGAAGCAACAGTACACCTATCAGTCAATGATGGCGTACACGATCCTACTGAGGAATATCACCCCGACTCAACAGCAGAACATAAGGTCTTACCGAGGTTACGGCAACTCCGCGGAGCTCGCGTACAACCACCTGAAGAGCCTGTATCAAGCAACAGACAGCGTAAGCCAAAGTCGGTTAATGGCGCAATTGACAACGGTTGAAATGAAACCAGGGGAGAAAGGAATGGCGTATATCAGTCGATGTCGCGAGTTGCGCGACAAGCTTCTTCGATGCGGAGGGTCGATCTCTGAAGACGCCTTCGTGACAGTCATCATCGGCGGCCTCGGTCCTCAATGGCGCGCCACAAAGGCCATTCTCCGAGCTCACGGAAGAATCTCCGAAGCAGCGCTCTGCGCCGAAATCCACGCCGAGCAGCAAGACATGGACCTGCAAGAAGAACGACACAAAAAGAAGACATCAGCACCGGAATTCGCGTTCCACACTCAGCGACGCTACAACAACAACAACAACCGGCAGCAACAACTGAAGCCAGTACCTCCGTTCTGCCACATCTGCAGAACTTCAGGACACCCGCGTACGCACTGCCCGAATCGTCAACAGTCAACAACTCCACAGCGGCAACTTCGACCTTCAAGCAGCAAAATCGCCTCAACGCAAGCAAATCCCACGACCCAGACTCAAGCCTCAACGACTTCAACGGGACAACCTGCACAAGGAGCAAGAAACATCGTCAGCTGCATGGCAAAGCTGAGTGACTCCTGCATCACCGAGTCACCACCACACTACTCACCGGAAGAACAACTCGACGAAACCACACCCCGCCGCGAGTCACTTCAGCCGAACCCGACATACGCCGCCATCGCCCAAAGCGAACCATCCGGAAAGGACACATGGTTCTTGGACAGTTGCTGCGGACAGCGCATGTGCTCCTCGGGACGCTTCGTTCAACGAGAACACCAACTTCAACGCGAAGTTGTCATTACAGTCGCCAACAATCAGAACCTGCGAACACGACGACAAGGCGTAGTTCAACTTCAGTCAAGGGAAACAAACGTTATACTGCAGATGTCAAAAGTACTAATCGCGGAGGGACTCGGCTACAACTTACTGAGCGTCAGTCAGCTAATGGCGAAAGGGATTCACCTCGAAGCAGACAGCACCACTCAAGAATTCAAGCTGTATCACGGGAGAGGAGGACTTTACATCGGCAAGGCGGTCCTCAAGAACAACGTCTTCGTTCTTGATTTCGTTCCTGATCTTGGCACCGCCGACAGCGACGCCATCGTTAACTTCACCAACTGGACACACCCTCCAGACCTTGATCCAGACTTCAGTCCAGAAGGCTTCTGGTATTCACACACCATCCCTGAAGCAGAAAGAACAAGGGCGTTAGCAACAATTCAGACAACATCAGCAGCAGCAGAGACAACATCGGCAGCAGCAGAGACAACATCGGCAGCAGCAGAGACAACATCGGCAGCAGCAGAGACAACATTGGCAGCAGCAGAGACAACATCGGCAGCAGCAGAGACAACATCGGCAGTAGCAGAACCATCAACGGCAGCAGCAGGAACGTCAACACCAATTGCTGGTCCTTCAACGACACCGCTCCTCATCGACGACACACCACCGACACCCGCGCAACAACTACACCCAGCACCACAAGAAGTTCATCGTAGCGCCAACTTCACCGCCAACTTCTACTCCAACTCCGATATGTACCGACGATCACCCGGACATCGCGCCGACGAAAGCACCTGGCACGCAAGGATGGGACACCCAAGCAACACAGTATTAAACAATACGATAAGAGCAGGAGTACTCGACAAGGACTCACTCCTACTGACCGACGGACGAGAACTTCAACGAGTACGCGGAACGTGCTTCATCTGCCCTGAAGGTGACTTACCACATCGACCGTTTGCGTCTCATCACAACCCGAGCGCACCCGCGTACGCACCACTCGAGAAGGTGTATAGCGACATCCTGTACAATCGGGAACCAGGACAAGTAATATACAACTATACAATCACCTTCATCGACGCCGCCACCCGTTACGTCTGGCACCTAAACCTCCCTAGCCGCGACATGGCATTCGCAGCCTTCGTTGCCTGGCTACCAGTAGCAGAGAGAGAATCGGGCGTGAAACTGAAAAGCTTCCAGTCAGACGGAGGAGGAGAATACACCTCTCAGCGATTCAAGCAGTACCTGGCGGAAAGGGGAATCAAGCGGCTCATCTCCCTTCCCTACGCCCATCAGCAGCAAGGTGTAGCAGAAAGAATGAACAGGACCTTGCAGAACAGCATGCGCAAACTGTTACGTGGCATTGCGGCTACCCAACCACCAGTGGCCTGCGGCAATGGACCACGCCGTCATGCTGCACAACTTGCTCTCGTCATCATCGCTTCCAAACAACGCATCACCGCATCTGCTATGGACAGGGAAACAGGGCAGCACAAAAATGTTACGAGTATTCGGATGCATGGTACAGTACCGACCCCCAGCAGCACGAGCGGGCCGATTCTCTCAACGAGCACAGTGGGGACTACACCTGGGAATCGAAAAGAACTACAACGCGTGGAAAATCTTCGACGTCCATTCCAAGGAAACAGTAGCAGCACGTGATGTAATTTTCTACGAACGACTCACGCTCCAGACATACCTTGCCAACCTGCAAGAAGACCAGGATCCCACAGGTGGTTTTCGCGGTGACCGAGCCTTCGCCTCAGCAGCGGACGAAGCTGACTGGGACGAGCAGAATGTGGACAACGCATCAGAAGAAGCCGGACCCCTTCCGTTCTGCTCCGTCGACGTTCCCATGGACGAAGATAACCCTCGCGAAAGTGTCAACGCCGAAACCTTCTACTATTTCGCCGACAACGGTTACGTAACACCTGCGACAGTCAACACCAACGAAGCAGAACGAGTAGGACCCAACTTCATACCTGATCCAGAAGCGGGAGATGAAGCAGCTTATCCGGAGGACGCAAATCTTCCCCGCTACTCACAGAGTGGACTGCAAATTCTCGGACTCGTCACCGCAGTCCACGGCACCGCCATTCCTAAAGAGCCTGCGACGGTTCAACAGGCTCTGGGGGGGAGCATAAGGAAAAATGGCGCGAAGCCATGGACAAGGAGCTGAAGGCACTGGAGGAACGCAACACGTGGAAAGTGGTTCCTATCGGCGTGGCACGGAACAAGACAGTGCTCACCGGGAAGTGGGTCTTCCGTGTGAAGACAAAGGCTGACGGCACCATTGACAAATTTAAAGCTCGCTGGGTTATACGCGGCTTCGACCAAGAACACGGACGCGACTTCACCGAAACTTTCGCTCCGGTTAGCCGCCACACCTCACTACGCATTCTCCTCGCAATCGCCGCCATGAAGAAGAAGAAGCTGCGACAAATTGACGTCGCGAACGCGTTTCTCTACGCACCTGTTGATGCAGAAATTTTCGTCGAGCTACCGCACGGCTCCCACAGAGAACCCAACCATGTCTGCCAGCTACTCAAGTCACTCTACGGCATCAAGCAGGCTCCGCGACTGTGGCAACAGTACCT